TGTTGCATATTTAAAAATATTTGTTTAAAAATAAATGTTTGTTGTGTTCTTATTTGTAAATTACCATAACTTGTAGAATTTCATCCTTACTGTTAATTGACATTAGCCCCACTTACGTTTTGATAAATGTCCCTTTGCGCCACCTGGCGGTCATTTCGCGAGCGACTTTGAAATGCGACTGGTTTATTTTTATTGTATTGGTCTACTTTAAAAAATAATACTTTATAAGACATTTATGGGAAAAGACTATTTTCTTTTCAAGATGTTTCCAACTGTAACTTTGAACCAATTCTGTAGAATGGCCCATATAGCATTTGACCAGGATTTGTTTCCAGGTATGACTAAAAATGTGCTTTTGGCTTTCATTTATATTTTGATTGTTTGTATATATATATATACACTCACCGGCCACTTTATTAGGTACACCTGTCCAACTGCTCGTTAACACTTAATTTCTAAGCAGCCAATCACATGGCGGCAACTACGTGCATTTAGGCATGTAGACATGGTCAAGACAATCTCCTGCAGTTCAAACCGAGCATCAGTATGGGGAAGAAAGGTGATTTGAGTGACTTTGAACGTGGCATGATTGTTGGTGCCAGAAGGGCTGGTCTGAGTATTTCAGAAACTGCTAATCTACTGGGATTTTCACGCACAACCATCTCTAGGGTTTACAGAGAATGGTCCGAAAAAGAAAAAACATCCAGTGAGCGGCAGTTCTGTGGGCGGAAATGCCTTGTTGATGCCAGAGGTCAGAGGAGAATGGCCAGACTGGTTCGAGCTGATAGAAGGGCAACAGTGACTGAAATAACCACTCGTTACAACCGAGGTATGCAGCAAAGCATTTGTGAAGCCACAACACGCACAACCTTGAGGCGGATGGGCTACAACAGCAGAAGACTCCACCGGGTACCAATCATCTCCACTACAAATAGGAAAAAGAGGCTACAATTTGCAAGAGCTCACCAAAATTGAACAGTTGAAGACTGGAAAAATGTTGCCTGGTCTGATGAGTCTCGATTTCTGTTGAGACATTCAGATGTTAGAGTCAGAATTTGGCGTAAACAGAATGAGAACATGGAACCATCATGCCTTGTTACCACTGTGCAGGCTGGTGGTGGTGGTGTAATGGTGTGGGGGATGTTTTCCTGGCACACTTTAGGCCCCTTAGTGCCAATTGGGCATTGTTTAAATGCCACGGCCTACCTGAGCATTGTTTCTGACCATGTCCATCCCTTTATGGCCACCATGTACCCATCCTCTGATGGCTACTTCCACCATGTCACAAAGCTCTAATCATTTCAAATTGGTTTCTTGAACATGACAATGAGTTCACTGTACTAAAATGGCCTCCACAGTCACCAGATCTCAACCCAATAGAGCATCTTTCGGATGTGGTGGAACGGGAGATTCGCATCATGGATGTGCAGCCGACAAATCTGCGGCAACTGTGTGATGCCATCATGTCAATATGGACCAAACTCCCTGAGGAATGCTTCCAGCACCTTGTTGAATCTATGCCACGAAGAATTGAGGCAGTTATGAAGGCAAAAGGGGGTCCAACCCGTTACTAGCATGGGGTACCTAATAAAGTGGCCGGTGAGTGTATATATATATATATATATATATGTGTGTGTGTGTGTGTGTGTATATATATATATGTAGGCTATATATATACAAGAAAGAATGCAATGACAATATATATATATATATATATATATATATATTGTCCTTGCATTCTTTCTTGTGTGACACCCCTGAATGAAAGGCTCATTATTATGCAGGGTCACTGTCTGAGAACCACTTAATTATTCATGATAGGGGTTGGGCCGTTCCGCCCATCCGCATATTGCCTTGGCAAACAAAAAAATGTTTTTCACAATTTAAAACAATCTATTGTTTTATGTGAATGATTAGGAAGGATGATTTTCAGATCATTTTGAAGCAAAAACTCTAGGCGACAACGTACATTAGTCAAAAGTCTTGTGGACACATATTTAGTATGTTTTTTGTGTCCTTATTTCAAAAACTAAATTTTTTAGTTTTTTCAATAACCATGCATAAACAATATTCCCTCAAAAATACAAACATGTACATACATGTTGCTCACACATTATGGTAGACCTGTTTGTGCTAAATAGAGTGTAATTTCACCTGTGCCATTAATATGTTTATAAGCAACTGAAAAAAGCACAAATGTCAGAGCATGTCAAAACATCTCAAGGACCCCAAAAACACCTTGGTCCCCAGAGGGTTAATGTGCTTTTTCTTGAGCCACTCCTTTGTTGCCTGGGCGGTATGTTCTGGGTCATTGTCATGCTTGAAGACCCATCCACGACCCATCTTCAGTGTTTTGGCTGAGGGAAGTATGTTCTTGTCCAAGATTTGACGGTACATGCCCCGTCCATCGGCCCCTCAATACAGTGAAGTCATCCTGTACCCTTAGCAAAGAAACAGCCCCAGAGCATGATGTTTCCACCTCCGTGCTTGACTGTAGGGATGGTGTTCTTAGGGTCATAGTCAGCATTTCTCTTCCTCCAAACACGACGAGTTGAGTCGATGCCAAAGAGCTCGATTTTGGTCTCATCTGACCACAGCACTTTCTCCCAAGCCTTCTCTGAATCATTAGATGTTCATTGGAAAACTTCAGACGGGCTTGTACATGTGCAGGGGGACCTTGCGGGCGCTGCAGGACTTCAATCCACTGCGATGTAGTGTGTTACCAATGGTTTGCTTGGTGACTGTGATCCCATTGCCTTGAGGTCATTAACAAGCTCCTCCTGTGTAGTTCTGGGCTGATCCCTCACCTTTCTCATGAACATCCTTACCTCATGAGACGGGATCTTGCATGGAGCTACAGACCGAGGGCTGTTGATTTTTCATTTTGTATTTCTTCCATTTCCGAATAATCACACCAATAAAAGTCTCCTTCTCACCAAGCTTCTTGCAGATGGTCTTGTAGCCCATTCCAGCCTTGTGCAGGTCTACAATCTTGTCCCTGACGTTTGACAGCTCTTTGGAATTGCCTGTGATGTTGGAGAGGTTGGAATGGAAGACACAGATTCTGTGGACAGGTGTCCACTGACATTAGGAGTACTTTCTTAAAGTGACAGGAATAATCTGTGTTCCACATGGGCACATAACCAATCTGTGGGAGGCAGAATTCTTGCTGGTTGGTTGAGGATCAAATACTTTTTTTATTTGGATGGTCCCTTTAACACATTCAGTTGACCATAAGTAATGTTGCACCCACATCTCTACTAACTCTCACTAAAGTGTTAGTAGAGTATTAGTAGACTGGTAGGGTTAGGGATAGAATAAGTTGACATGTAGTTGCAAAGTTACTTATAGTCTGTAGAATGTCTGTTGGAGGAGCATCACAATAAAGAGTTAGCAGATATTAAGCAGACAGTCTACTAATACTCTAATGAGAGTTAGTTGACATGTAGTTGCAAAGTTACTTCAAAATAAAGTGTTACGACTTTTTTCACTCGATCAAATGCTAATCAATTTACAACTTTTATATAATGTGTTTTTTGGTTGATATTCTTGTCTCTATTCGTTAAAATAAACCTACAATAAAAATTATAGACCCTTCATTTCTTTGTACTTGGGCGAATAATTATTTCCCCCACTGTAATTTACTAGAGGTTAATTGCTGCAGTCTATTTAAAAATAACTAATTAATATATATTTTTTAAATGGTTTGAATGAATGATTCAATGACTCACTAATTAATGCTTCACTTGTTTCATTACTGAATGAATCAGTGTTTTTGAATGAATCTCTTGAATGATTCAATGACAAATACATTTTTAACAGTCACTTGTCCTTTTAACCTACTGGTGTAAGGATGTAATTGATACAACATTTATTTGAAGGGTCAAGTTTCCATAGACATCAGTGTTTATATCCGAGCTATAAACTTTTATCCCAGTACTTCTGTAAAAAATGTGTCTCTGTACATTTCTGCATTCATCTTTCCCTCGATCCTGAATAGTCTCCCAGTTCCTGTCGCTGAAAAACATCCCCACAGCATCATGCTATTGGCCAGGTGATGAGCAGTGCCTGGTTTCCTCCAGACATGACGCTGGCCATTCAGGCCAAAGAGTTAAATCTTTGTTTCTCATGGTCTGAGTCATTCAACTCTAGGCGGGCTGTCATGTGCCTTTTACTGAGGAGTGGCTTCCAGCTGGCCACTCGACCATACAGGCCTGATTGGTAGAGTGCTGCAGAGATGGTTGTTCTTCTGGAAGGTTCTCCGCTCTCCACAGAGAAACGCTGGAACTCTGTCTGAGTGACCATCGGGTTCTTGGTCACCTCCCTGACTAAGGCTCTTCTCCCCCGGTTGCTCAGTTTGGCCGGGTGGCCAGCTCTAGGAAGAGTCCTGGTGGTTCCAAACTTTTTCCAATTTGATGTAGGCCACTGTGCTCATTGGGAGCTTCAATGCTGGAGAAATATTTTTGTACCCTTCCCCAGCTCTGTGCCTCAGCAATCTTATCTCGGAGGTCTAAAGACAATTCCTTGGAATTCATGGCTTGCTTTGTGCTCTGACATGCACTGTTAAATGTGGGACCTTATACAGTCAAATGTGTGCCTTTCCAAATCATGTCCAATCAACTGAATTTACCACAGGTGAACTCTTATCAAGTTGTAAAAACATCTCAAGGATGATCAGTGGAAACAGGATGCATCTTAGCTCAATTTTGAGTGTCACTTATGTACATGTGATATTTTTGTCACATGTACACAAGATTTCAAACAAACTTCTTTCACGTTGTCATTATGGGGTATTGTTTGTAGAATTTTGAGGAAAATAATTTAATCCATTTTGGAATAAGGCTGTAACATAACAAAATGTGGAAAAGTGAAGAGCTGTGAATACTTCCCAGATGCACTGTATGATGAACACAAAATGACCACAGTGTGTTCATAAATTGATGTGAATCCCCTGAAGTATTGCTCAAGAATGAGAAATGTTATCTGTGTTTGTCTCTCAGGCAGCTGCAGAGTACGCCAAGTCTCATCTTCCCGTCATGTTGCGCCAGCAGCTTCAGAAAGAAAACAGTGCTCGTACTCCTCAGTCCGTCCTCAGGCAGCAGATACTCAACATGGACAAAGAGATGCTGGAGAAACTGTCGGCCTCCTATGATGAAGCAGGTGAGAGCTGGATGGCTCAGAATCACGATATACTAAGTGCAAGTCCACGACCTGAGAATCAAACATGACATGTGATGAGGTCATTGTGCACTGTCATGTCATACTCTGTGCTGCTTTGGAAAAAGGTACCTGACAGTATTCAGTAGAGCTGCATGATTCTGGATAAATTGAGATTAAAATTCAGTTAAAGATATATATATATATATATATATATATATATATACGTATATATATATTTTCTTATGGAATCTCAATTCTGAATAGACTACTAAACAAAATATCATGTGATTTACTAAAGGTTCAGCCAAAATGTTAATTGCTGCAGTCTGTTAAAAAATAATAATAATTTGAACAATTTCTTTTTTTTTTACATTGGTTAAATGAATGATTCAATGACTCTCTCATAAATACTTCACTTGTTCCATTACTGGACAAATTAGTTGTTGTTTCTCAGATCTTATTTGAGTTTAGGACATTATATATAGTAGTTTAATGTACTACTGACATTAAAACTCTGAAAAGTTGTTTATTATAATTACAATAGAGGTAGAAGGCTAACGCAAATACAAAGTTCAACTGTAAATCAGGCCAAGAGCTGGATCGCTTCAGTAAAGAGGAGAGAGGCGGTAAAGGATCTCGCATGAGGCGAACAAGACCAGACTAACAGAGAGAGAGAGAGACACCATTAATGCCATTGGTGCTTTTATAGTAGACATCCCAGATGATGTCACTCCACTTTAGAGGATCGGGGAATCCACTTCTGGCAACACCATGAAATACATGCTGACCAGCACTGAGAATAATTCCAGACATGCATGAAACCAGCCTGGGCTTCCATTGATAACTGGCTCAGAGTTCCCCTTCGTTAGGTTTTTCAGTCTTATAAACAGGTAAGTTCAGCCTAGAGCCTCACTCACGTCCAGTTTGTGTCTCGGTCAGGTACCACGTGTCTGGTGGATCTGCTGTCTGAGAAGGACTTGACTGTAGCTAATGTTGGCGATTCCAGGGCAGTGCTGTGCGATAAAGACGGTAATGCCGTCCCACTGTCACATGACCACAAACCCTACCAGGTCAAAGAGCGAAAGAGAATCAAGAAAGCTGGTGAGTAGCAGCCCACTGCAGTCATGCGTGTATATATATTAAATAATGTTTAGGATTGTTTTTTGCATCGTCACATTGATGTCCTGTCAATTAAAAACATTTTACCCTAAAAATCTCATTACTGTAATGTGATAATTGTAAAGTATTTATACATTAGGGTAGTAGTTATACTTCCTTTACACTGATTTAAAGGGGATCTATAATGCAAATTCACTTTTATATTGTTTCCCCAAATTCAACTGAAAATACAACTTTTAACGACTTCTGCAGTCTCAAAATTATTCAACCCCCTGAATATAATCCCGCAAAACAGGTGTTGTCTCACTAATCAAGGGATTCATTAGTTGCACCAGGTGTGCTTGAGCTAGAACACATGAAATATCTGAACTGGCTAGGTTTGTTAAGTGTCACGTTTGCATCCTCTGGCATTGGAAACCTACTGCGTGTGGAAGGCAAGATGGATTCATTGAAGTATCAGGAAATCCTAGGAGAAAACGTCATGCCGTCAGTGAGGAAGCTGAAGCTTGGACCTTTCAACAGGACAGTGATCCCAAGCATACCTCAAATTCCACCAAGGCTTGGTTGCAGAAGAAGTCATGGAAGAGTGTACAGTGGCATCACAGTCACCTGACTTGAACCCCATAGAAAATCTCTGGTGGGATTTGAAGAAGGTGGTTGAAGGACGCAAACCCAAGAATCTTACTGAACTGGAGGCCATTGCTCATGAGGAATGGGCTCAGATTCCTCAGAAACGCTGCCAGAAGCTGCTGTCTGGTTATACATCTCGTTTGCAGCAGGGCAGAACAGCAAAAGGGTTCCCTTTTAGAAAGGAAACTCGCACTACGTTGATGACGCTATGGGGAACGCCTCCACGTGAACTGGTGCCTGAAAGCTTATTCAATCACACCAATCGTTATTGACCGGCGACAGCTTATGACGTCACTACTGGTGCGACTCAGAAGTATAAAAGGGGCGCCTAGAGAACATGTCATCATTTTCTTATCAGTGCAAAAGAGACTCAAAATACTCTGTTGATTTTGATCTTACATATAAGTGTTGTACAGCATTAGATCCTGTTAAGTGTCTATTTTTTGTGGATATTCACAATAACAACAAAGTGTTGTGCTTTTCGCCAAATAAAGAAAAATAAACATGATGCGAGTTCTGTGTTCTCTCTGTCAGTGAAGTCTATTCTGAAACGCGTCCGAAAATGAACTGTAACTCAGCGAACACTCAGGCTGCGTTCGGAATCGCATACTCAATGAGTAGGTACTTAATTTCAATGAGTACTTACTTAACGAGCGCTAAAAGAGTAGGTACTTTATAGCCAGGTTTTTCGAAGGTTGTTAAACCGGGGGTGGTAGTGGGGATAAGCTCCCACTTCCTATAAAATGCCCTCAATGGTGTGCGTCTCAAACAGCCTCTGACAACCCAGTCCAGCTCCTGGCCTTCCTGTGTGGCTTAGCTACTAAGTCCGGCGAAACCGTTCCCACTAACAGGAGAAGGGGCAAAGGCGGTCCTCTGGCGCCTCAAAACCAGTCGCTTCGGGCAGATGGGGCTCGTCAACCTTGGATGGTAGCTCAGATTCCAAACCTCCGCTGCCTTGCGGCATACCCCTTCAGGGGAAAGGCTAAGGGAGTAAACCCTGCTAGAAAATCCGGAGCTGGAGTCCCTAAGGCGGCCTGACATAGTATCGTCTTCACCGGCAACTCCTGCGGCGCAGCTGGAGCCAAGCTGTATCGACTCTGTCTTTCCCTTGGATTCTTCAGCTTCGCGGAGAGGGGGGGCCTGCTGCATGGGCAACAGCTGGCCCTCCATATAACCCTGCCCAGGCTCTGTAGCTCCACTGGAGAGGACACTCCAGCGCCATCGCAAGATGTCGACTCAACACGGGAGGGGGCAGTTACCGGTTATAAGCTCATCCGATTGGCGAAGGAAGCGAGCGCCAGGGGTCCCCTTCGACGGTGGGAGAGGTCATCGCGCCTCATTGGACAGCTACCGCCCGCCTCAAGCTGGGCAGCCCCCAGCCAGTAAGGTGCCGCCATGGCTCACCTGCCCCACTGGGTGCGTGGGGATTAGAGAGGCATCTCACGAAAAGTGGGCCACTAAACACTCGCACCAGGCAAGTCAAAGGAAGAACCATTGGTCTGCACAGCCATTCCCGGCGGTGCAGATAGACACACCGAGCTACACCATCGTCTCCCGAGACGGACGGCTGCCGACGACGACGACTTTATAGCCAAATCTCGTTGAGTATGAATGCGATCCGGACATCATCCGCCATGTTGACGTTATCATGTGACCTACGACGCGTTATCACCATGGTTATCACAAGCGCAACAACTTAAAAGATGAACGACACGTTTAAATCATCTATCTGTAAATATCTTGATATTGATGAAACTTGCTCATTTTGTGGTATTTTTTTATTTTATACCCAAAGTTTCTCCTTTAAGTTTTCCTCTTTTCTTGATGAATTTACCTCTCGTTTCATCCCTCAGACTTAGAACAACAAAACAATTTTTAATGTATTATGAAGAACTATTTAAAGATATTTAGCCTTATTGTTCTTTTTTCCTGTGTATAAATATCATATTATGATGTACACAAAGCAATGATCTTTATGTTTTCTGTTTTGTCATTATGATTGTTCATTGTTAGATACAACTATGGTATCTTTCCATGATCTTTATGTAAAAAGTTTATAAGTTTAAATTATATGAGCGACAGGTGCACTAACACTTCATAACATCAGTAACTCGACAGCACAACCTAGAACAGTTTTCCTCTGCGTTTGTAATGTCTGCACAAGGAGACGGGCCGCTGCTCGAAGATCTCCTTTGGAGAAAACTGTTGACTTTATACTCGAAAAAAGTAAGGATAACTCCTTAAAAATTAATATTACCTCAGAATGAATTGCATTGTTAGCCCACCCCAAAACTTAAACAAAATAATATTAAATGCTGACCAATACTTAATTATATAACTTTTTTATATATACTAAAAATGATCTAATTTAATAAAACAAGCAAAATGTAATTTGTTTTGTCATATGAGTTATGCATGAATACACGTGAACATCTCAATTGTCAGTCAAGCAATGAATTAATGCATACATTAAATAATTATATTTTATATACTGACAACAACAAGAAACATGAATAAATGAGTAAAAGAACAAATAAAAGTAACCATCATACAATAAACAAATGCATATACAAATGAGTAAAAGAACAAATAAAAGTAACCATCATACAATAAACAAATGCATATACAATTCAACAACACATGAAACAAATCTTTATTCAAACTACAAGCATGTATTTACAGGCACTGAACCCCACATACTGCCATCTCAACACAGCGGTTCCCATTCTGCGGCTTTACTCTGATGAATTCACCAGAGGTGACCGTGCCTTCGTGCTGGAGCTTGTTGCTGCGCTGCGCTTCACAATCTGAGGCGATAAGGGCCGGTGGAGAGATGGAGCGTCTCATCCACGGCACCGTTTCCAGGATTCAGCTCTGGGCTCCTCATCCTCAGTGCTCACACCAGTCTGAATAAAAACATGTTTAGTTACTTTATAGATTTGTTTATTTACCTTATTTACAGCACATTTGTCTAATGTCAACAGTGTTGGCAACAGTGAATTAACGTTATCCTATAATAATGCCACACATACATCACTCAGATGTCTTTTTCATGTTGTGATGTGCTCATCTGCAATATGTCAATACTTACAATATTTTCCTTTCAGATGTAAATAGACATTTTAAATAAGCGTGTTTAAGATGTTATGTAAATCCACTTTAGAGACGTTGCGTGTGCTTAGAGCTCCCCTGTTAGCTAGCTATACAAAACATGTTTTTACAGCAAAATCACAACTATACTATACTGTCTAACTACTTTACACCTTCAACAGTTAAAATGTTTACCCTGTAGTAGTTTAACACATAAGGAACCGTGTTTACTCACATTTGATAACCCCCGGCGTCGCTGATCTCCGTGATGTTTGATAATGACGTATGCTCTCGCGTGGCCTCCTGGGATAGAAGAGTATCCATCGGTTGAGCACTCAAAAATCGGGCCGGAAGCAGTAAGCCATCCGGGAACTTCTCCCCTACTCTTTTATGAATACTGATGTTTCGAACGTACTGCTTCCTTCACGTTCTGTTTTCGCCTACTATATAGTAGGAAAGTAGGCATATTCGAACGCACTTAAGTCCGAATCTCGCGATAATTAGCACGTCACCCAGGTAATTCTCGCCTACTCTTTTATGATTCGTACATACTTTTTGCTCGCCTACTCTTTTTCCCATACTGTATAGTAGGGAAGTATGCGATTCCGAACGCAGCCTCAGTCAAGCAGGAATACAGGCACACAGGCATGAAGCTTGAATTCTCTTCTTTTAACCCTCTGGGGACCAGAAACGCGCCGGCGCGTTTTGCTTGTTTTTTTCACATAGCACAAAAATAGACTTAAAGTACTACCATAATTTCTGTTCATATAGAGTTAAGAAATATGAGAAAATAATCTGTTAAATGTCTACTTTTTTATGTGCCCACATACAATCGAAATAAAAGATTGTGCTTTTGTAAAATAAAGAAAATAAACAGGGTGTGCGTTCTGCCTCTCCATCACCGTGAACTTTTTTTCTGGAGCACGTCTCTAATCTTCCACACAACTCAGCTAATACTATTAACCCAGCCATAAGCAATATATCTTTTAAATCATTTGAGTTTGTACTTTTAAATGATCCGATTCAAAACTAAAATAAATATTCTCCGTTTATGTCATCTATATAAAAAGAGAGACGTGTCAGCCGTTCTAATTATCTTTCTCTCAGCTCATTATCTCTGGTAATGTGACACGCCCACGGAGAGCACGCGCTATTCAAACGCAAATATGTGAAGCAACACATTGAGACACGTTAACGCCCATAAACTCTGAAAACACACATTATTTTTTTGTCAGATTAATCTACTGTCGTCTTGCGCGGCT